TGTTCCCCTGGCTATGTACAGTGTGAACACCATTGTAAAAATCAAATTATTTAATATTAAGGAAAATGTAACGTGCCTGGGACGATGGGGCTTTATTCCCGTGAAACGGGTGCCTTTTTTCTAGTCACTTACAATTATCCTAACATGACATCCATTTTCTAGAACAATCCGCATTATCCTCTTTAGGAATCGCCAGCAGTGGCATCGTCACGTTCTCCATAATCTCGATCATAGTGATTCAGTGTCAAATTTTGATTTTGGAAATGTCAGTAATAGCTATCATCAAATCTGGACGACAATAAGTTGGTCTGACAGACCAGGGTGATATGTTCTCTCTCTCTCACTTTCTCTCCCCCCCACATACACACACACACACAGTGCATATATATATATATATATATATATATATATATATATATATATATATATATATGTGTGTGTGTGTGTGTGTGTGTGTGTGTGTGTGTGTGTGTGTGTGTGTGTGTGAGAACCATGCAGGAAAAGTTAAGAGTCTGTTCATTCGGTCATTGCTAAGCCTATGGCTGCTTCATCGTCGCCTGCGGAACCTTACTGGAGAGTGTGTATTCACGCATGCGTAGAAAGAAACCCGGAGATTGGCTGCTGAGTTTTATCATGGCTTCGCAACCAGATCTTGAGATAAAAATTAGATGCTTTCGAGACAGACTATCTATCTATCTATCTATCTATCTATCTATCTATCTATCTATCTATCGTTTTAAGCGATAATACAATTCTTCAAGAAATCTCGAGATAAATAAGAAAGTGTAGAATATTTAGATCCAAAAACATAAAGAAATAACTCGGAAAAAAAATGACAAAATTATTTTCCTTTGTCCACATTTTAAGATCTCTGTAATATTTTGAGTCTGTTTCTTATTTTCTCTGTTGTTGGTGCCGTCTTTCATTTTAATTTAGATCATATTCATTTTGTTTTTTAGCAGATTGTCTTCTAAGTTGTTTAACTATGGTTGTTGCTGCTACCTTCATTTTCATTGTTGTTTGAATGTCTTCATTCTTACCCTCAGAACACCACAAAATGTCCTTTCTTTCATTACCGTGTCCATGTTTTTTTTTTTTTACTTTCTATCTTGAGGTCTCTCTTTCGCATGTATCTATTTATCTGTCGCATACCTTCCCGCTTATCCTCCCGCCAAAATGGTGATTGATTTTACCAGCCTTGTCTATCTAGATTTTTAGGAAAAACGCGCCCTCTACAGCGATACTAAGGAACTGCGTGTAGCGAGATTTGCACTTATCTGTGATTTCATCCGGTCTGTGAATCACACTCCACAATGTACCGCTGCCGACATCCTCCACAGCCCTGCCTAAAAATCACTCTAACTTTTTTTTTCACCTTTCTTTCTCTTCTTTTTTTTTTCTTTCGCAATTAATCCTTCGTTTCTTTATTTCACCTTCTGCCATCTTCGTTTTCTCTTCCTCTCTCACTCTCTCTCTCTCTCTCTCTCTCATTGCCTAATTCTTCTCTATATAAATTACTTTCGTTTTCTCTTTCTTATTTTATTCTAACTCACGGAATTGCTCTCACTTTGTTTTTTGTTATTTCACTTAAAATAACTACTCTTTCTTACAGGCAAATAAATGATTTCTTTCTTACTCCGTTCAATATGTCTATCATTCTGAAGGTTTCTCTCTGTTTAAGGTTTTGCTTTTCAATGATTGTTTTCTCTTCTGATAAGTCTATATCTACCTTTCTTCCCCACATCCCTACCCGCTCAATATTTTGCCCTCTGTTTTTCCCAAGTTAATTTCTCATTTTCTTAATAGACACGTTATTTTTTTTCTAACACACTCTTAACTAAATACCTACGAACTTGACTTTCTGTTAGTCTCCCTTTTCCCTATTATTTGTATTCAGTTTCTCTGATTCTTTCTTTCTTTCTTTCTTTCTTTCTTTCTTTCTTTCTTTCTTCCTTTCTTTCTTTCTTTCTTTCTTTGGGGTATTTGTCTGTCGATCTTTCCACACTAACTTTGCTATCAGACTCTCTCTTACTGAACTGTTTTTTTTACACCCTTTCGTTGTGAATTTCTCGGAGTCTTCCCCGAATGATCTCGTCATGATTTTTGTCTATCTATCTATCTATCTATCTATCTATCTATCTATCTATCTATCTATATATATATATATATATATATATATATATATATATATTTTCAGTCTGTTCATATCTATCTATCTATTTATCCATCTCAATCTTCCATATCTATCTATCTATCTATCTATCTATCTATCTATCTATCTATCTATCTATCTATCTCTCTCTCTCTCTCTCTCTATATATATATATATATATATATATATATATATATATATATATATATATATTTTCAGTCTGTTCATATCTATCTATCTATTTATCCATCTCAATCTTCCACATCTATCTATCTATCTATCTATCTATCTATCTATCTATCTATCTATCTATCTATCTATTTCAGTCTGTTATCAATCTATCTAATTTTTACTAAAATAATATTTCTCAACATTTTTTCTTGCTATATTTCTAAGGATGACCTGCACACAGATTTGTTTTTCATTGCTTTTCTCTCAATTTCACTCTTTCACATGCAGATTTTTCTTTCTTTCTCTTTAAGCTTTCTCCCTCTCGTTCTCAATCTTTTATTCTCTCCCTCTCTATCTCTCTCTCCCTCTCTCTCTTCCTCCCTCCCTCTGTCTCCCTCTTTATCTCTCTCTCTCTCCCTCTCTCTTCCTCTCTCCCTTTCTTTTTTATCGTTATCAACCTTTCATTCCTCATTTACCACAAACATTCTGCTCAGGACCCACGCGCTCACTCTTTCTCTTTTTGTCTAAAAGCTTGGCGCTATCAATTAATTCTATTTGTCTCTCCACCTTTGTACGTTTCACTAGATCACTCTCTTTTTTCCCTCCTCTCTCTCCTTCTTACTTTTAAAATGACAACGTTGGGAAGAAAAACGTAGTAACATAAAGAGCATGTGTGCGTAAACGTTACTCTCTTTATCCGTACGCTTGTGTCTACGAAGGCACACAGACACATACACACACACACACACACATACAAATATATATATATATATATATATATAAATATATATATATATATGTAATTTTTTCCTAAGTGTGCGTGTGTGAAGTTGATTCGAACAGACTGTCACGCTTGTCACATCTATGACTACCACCTTCACCACCACCACCATCACTGCTACAATTACTACCATCATCATCATCATAATCATCATGAGCATTGATTGTATTCCTGCTGCTGCTGCTGCTTCCATCGCTACACCTACAGCCGACGAGGCTGCTAGGAACAGTGGATAAAAAAAGGAACCAGGCATAATCAATTTACTGACCCCATTCCACCACTGCAGTCACTGTGTTCCACTAGCCACATGTCCTTCCCCGACTCCGTCTTCATCTTGTCTTATACTGTTCCGTCTCTCAGGCCTTCCTCCCCTTCATCGGCTTCTTTCTTTTTCTGTGAAGCATTCTAGCCTATCCACCCTTGTTTTTCTACTTCTCCAACTCCTCATTATCATTTTCTTTTTTTTTTTTTTTTTTTTTTTTTTTGGGGGAGGGGACTGTCTTTAGGCTGTTCGTTTTTTTTTTTTTCTCTGTTTTGTCTTATACAAATCTGTCTACCATTAGGTATTTTTTTCTTCTTATTCGACCTTTCTCTCTCTTCAACTTCGTTTTTTTTAATCATTTTTGACCCCCACCATACATTCCCATGAGCCTCCCACCAACTTCGTTTTTCTCTGCTCCTGTCTATTTAATCTCGTATGTTCACGAAACAACTATCTAAAGCCTTTGTCTCTTTCTATTACTCAAGCTCACCCCGACACGATTTCCTTTTTATCAACCCCTCCGTCCAGATCTATCTATCTATCTATCTATCTATCTATCTATCTATCTATCTATCTATCTATCTATCTATCCCATTCTGCTCATATCTATCTATCTATCTATCTATCTATCTATCTATCTATCTATCTATCTATCTATCTCATTCTGTTCATATCTATCTATCTATCTATCTATCTATCTATCTATCTATCTCATTCTGTTCATATCTATCTATCTATCTATCTATCTATCTATCTATCTATCTATCTCATTCTGTTCATATCTATCTATCTATCTATCTATCTATCTATCTATCTCATTCTGTTCATATCTATCTATCTATCTATCTATCTCATTCTGTTCATATCTATCTATCTATCTATCTATCTATCTATCTATCTATCTATCTCATTCTGTTCATATCTATCTATCTATCTATCTATCTATCTATCTATCTATCTATCTATCTATCTAATTCTGTTCATATCTATCTATCTATCTATTCATATCTATCTATCTATCTATCTA